TTTTTTTTCAGACTTTCGATATTAATACTGTGAGGGTGTCTTCTTTGAGGTGCGAGTTTTCTTTTTTTCTTTTAGGGAAGTTAAAACCTGACATGATCCACTCCATTCAGGAGTGGATCATGTCAGGTTTTTAACTAGGGTTGAAGAATTAAAAATATGTTTTATTCTGTTTTACATAGTACAAACATTGTCATGTTATATGTAATTTTAATGTGCTGAAGCATTGCGTTACATGCTGTGGAAATATTTCTTCCCAAAATTATTTGGGCCACTGAAACTGATCAGTTAAACAAAATGGCCTACCGACAGCCATCTTTGATTTTTGACATTGAAGGATTGTTAGTACTATTTCTCAGGAATAACTTGAGGGATCTTTCTCAAATTTGATATGTAGGTTCCCCTTGACCCCTCGTTGTGCATGTTATATTTTGAGACTGATCATAAAAACAAAATGGCTAAAGGAAGAACTAAACAGATCTTTCTCATATTGCAATGATCGATTCTATTTCTTTCACATTAAGTACTGCACTAGTAAACATGTGAAATGACTAACTCACTTTGAAGGTTGACTTTCATACACATCAGTATTAAGTTTAGATCAAAAGTTACCTCAAGGTGCATTTCCCGTTAACATGACTTGATCAAACAGATTAGAGGAAAGAAGAGAAAAGTTCGAACTGACAAAGAACTAAAGAAGATGGTACAATGGTGGGCGCCAAGATCCCTCTGGGATCTCTTGTATAACTTGTTTCACTATTTTTGTAAATTAAATCAAATTTGATTTTGATAAAAAAAAAAAAAACATGAATGACCTAGCAAGATAATATCATATTTCACGTTAAGCACAACAACATGTTTATTTTACAGGAATGTCTTCACTTACCCCTGGAATAACAAGTGGGAGTACGGAATGGGGAACGAGGCCTACAAACTCGCCAACGCAGGTTACAAGGTGAGAAACCACTACGCTTCTTCTTCATGTCAAATACGAGCCGCTCCTACAGACTCGGCGAGGGAGAAGTTCTCTTTACCTCATTCGGTAGAAGGGTAAGCCTAGTACACCAGAGGTCCGGGGTTCGACTCCTAGCGGAGGCATTGAAAAAATAATGACCTCTGTTACATTGGCGCTCAAGTAGGGACCGGGGAGATATGACAAAAATACTCAGCAGTACTTGCAATGGAATCGCTTTGAAAAACTCAGGACTAGTTCCTTCCTGGAGGGGGAGTATGTCACCCTGGTAAAATATACTAGCCGCTTCCTACTGGCTCGGCTAGGGAGAATTTCTCTTTGGCTCATTTGGTAGAGCGTAAGACTAGTAAATCAGAGGTTCCAGGTTTGGCTCCTAGTGGAGGCATTAAAAAAATAATGGCCTCTGTACATGTTACATTCAGTTTAGATAATTTTATAATTTCAAATTGCTGGAAATAAAATTTTAGTGTCTGTATGTCATACTTTAACATCTGTCATTAATTTGTTTTCACATTTATAAACCTTAAAAAAACCCAACATATATCTAAAACTATATCCCAGAGTGCACAGTGTTCCCTTCCATCCTTTCCTGTAAATGTTAGGATAAGGGTACATTTATTAAAAAAAAAAAAAAAAAAATCAGTTTCACGTCGTTTCTGCCTTTTTACCTCCCTTGCCAACATAGTTATTAGTTATATACTTACTTGTACCTGTGACGTTATTCCTCGTGTTTCCAGGTCGTGATGTCACTGGGGACTCACCTGTACTTCGACCATTCCCATGAACCGGATCCTGAAGAAGTCGGGCTCTACTGGGCAACACGCTTCATCGACTTGCACCATGTGTTTTCCTTCACCCCTGAGCAGATCTACTGGAATGCAGAACTGTCAGGCATGGGAGAACCACTCAATAAGGATCAGATCTGTAACTCGAGAGAGTGTCTTACACTCCAGAAACCTGAAAACATTGTCGGTAAGCCTGATTATCTCCCCTTAATTTCCTTCGCATTTACTCAGATTCAGTCTCATATATAATTGTGCCAAAGGTCTCTATGCAAAATTTTGTGATTTAATATTATATTCATCTTGATTTTATCATACCGGTAATTCTCTGTAAAACTTTGAATGATTTTTGAAAGTTATTCATTTTGAATCATTCAGGGATATATTAAAAGCTTCCTTGAGAAACTCAGTTATTATAAGTTTAAATTAAACTCACTCACCCTTGAAATATCATAATGAACTATTCCAACCTTTGAATTGGAAGAGTTCAAATGTGTTCAGGGGTGAATGAGTAAGTCTACACAGAAACACAGCTCCTCAAGATCTATTGCTAAAGACAGAAGAGAAGAGACTGAGTTAGGATCCTAACAACTCAGCTGGGGAGAAATTCTCTTCAGCTCATTCGGTAGAGCGTAAGGCTAGTAAAGCAGAGGTCCCAGGTTCGAGTGCTAGCGGCACCGAGGTAATAATGACTTCTGTTACATTCAGATAAACAAATTTTATTAAATTCTAACGTAACAGAGGTTTATAATGACTTCTCAGTGCCTCCACACATCTTGTTTACTAGTCTATCTCTCAACCAAATGAGCAAAAGAGAAATTTTCCGTAGCCAAATTGCTAGAAAGAAGCTAGTACTTTACCAGGGTGACGTGTGTGAATTAAAAGGCCATGGCACATATTAATCAAAATTATACTAAGAAAGTTATGCTATGGCGCGGCGCCTGTCTGTCCGGCGTCAATATTTTACTTAAAACAACTTATTTTTAATAACCAAAAGGCTTAGGGTAATGATATTTGGCCAGTAGCATGCTGGGATAAAGGGCTACCAAGTTTGTTCAAATGAATGACCTTCACTTATATTCGAAGTCTCGGGGGTTTACATTTAAAAACCTTTAGACAACTTCTTCTCAATAAACAAAAGGCCCAGGGTACTGATATTGGGCCTGTGTAGCATGCTGGGATGAAGGGCTACCAAGTTTGTTCAAATGAATAACGTTCACTTATACTCAATGTCACAGGGGTCAATTGTCTTCAAAAACTTTGAAACAACTTCTTCTGAAAAACCAAAAGGACCAGGATGGTGATATTTAGCCTGAATAGCATGCTTGGATGAAGGGCTACCAAGATTGTTCCAATTAATGACCTTCAATCATATTCAAATTCTCAGGGGTCAATTTTCTTTTAAAACACTTTAAACAACTTCTTCCGAATAACCAAAAGGACCAGGATGATGATATTTGGTCAGTTACATGCTGACCAAGTTTGTTAAAATGAATGACCTTGACTTGTATTCAAGGCCGCAGGGGTCAAATATATTTAAAATATTTTAACGGCTTCTTCTGAATAACCAAAAATCCCAGGGTGAATATATCTGGCCAGTAGCATGCTAGGGTAAAGGGCTACCAAGATTATTAAAATGAATGACCTTGACCTGTATTCGAGGTCACAGGGGTCAAAAATGTTTAAAATCTTTAAACGACTTCTTCTGAATAACTTATAGGCCCAGGGTGATGATATCTGGCCAGTAGTATGCTGGGGCTAAGGGCTACAACGGTTGTTTAAATAAATGATGTTGAATTATATTCAAGGTCACAGGGGTTAAATTTATTCAAAATGTTTAAATGACATCCTCTGAATAACCATGAGGCCCAGAATGTTTGTATTTGGAAGAAGGGCTATATATCAAGTCATTTGAATGACCTTGACCCACTTTCAAGATATCTAAATGACCCAATCTCATTAAACAAAAGGTCTAAGTTGGTGATATTTGGCAAGTTGCATGCTGAATTGAAAGGCTATAAAGTTTGTTCAACGTAATGACCTTGTTCGAAAATCAAGGTCACATGGGTCAAATGATTTTAAATCTTTTAGCAGGTTGTTTTGAATGACTTATAGTCATAAATACTGATATTTTGCCTGTAGTTTTATTCTAAATCACTTTTTAGGTTACAAGTGTGAGATTAATACCAGGTGAGCGATGCAGGCCCATTGTGCCTCTTGTTATCTTAGTGTTTAAGCTAATTCATAGCAGCACAAAGAAGGCTATTCAATTGCAGTGGCATTGACTCAAGTCTTATTTTTGTGACCTTGACCTTGTGCTTCAGGTATGGAGTGCCACCTATGGGGAGAATTGTTGAGATCACGTGACATCACAGATCACCAAATGTTTCCTCGGGTCATAGCAATGGCCGAGAGAGCATGGCACCAAGCTGTGTGGGAGAGCGAGGGTGACGTGGCGGCAAGGCGGACACAAACGGACGCTGATTGGCTGAGATTTGCCAACACCATTGGGTACAAGGAATATCCTTACCTAGACAGTCTCGGTATCAAATACAGAATTCCACCTCCAGGGGCTGTGTAAGTATTAACTTATTCACCCCTGAAATTTCATAATGAACTATTCCAACCTTTGAATTGGAAGAGTTCAAATGTGTTTTTAGTGAATGTCAAAGTTAAGGTTGTTATAACTTGTCACAAATACTTCAATTTAACTCGCCACTGACTCGCTAAAATGAAATAATTTCATACTTGTGTGATAAATCTCATGAGAAGTAAACTCATTTGAGATCGTATAGGGCTATCTCATGTCCCAGGTATGTTTAAAGTCATTGCTTGGCATTGTTGAGTGACCATATATGGTTATTATAATGAATCCATGGTCAGTTCTTGAGAGTTGAAAAGTGACATTAAATTTTACAGATTTATGATTTGAAGTCTCAAAGAAATATGTAAAAAAATCGCCAGCTTTGAATGAAATTATTGCAAATATGTGTAATTTTTTTCAGTGTGCAGGAAAGGAAACTGCTGGTGAACAGTGAAGCTCCTGGTCTCGAGATCCAGTACAGCCTCGACTTCGGGAAAACGTGGCGCGACGCGAGGGGAGGGCCAGAACTAACAGGGGATGCTACCATCTTCTTGAGGACAATGTAAGTGTTCAGAATCTTGTGTTTCCTGGTTCAGAGTTGTTTCCCTGAATAATATAACCAATTTCAGTTATTACGTGGAAGACAATTGCAAAATGTCTCACACCTGTGTCTTGATTCAAAAGTCATTAAAAAAAACACCTGTTAAAAGATTTAAACACGTTTGACCCCTGTGACCTTGAAAGTCAAACAAGGATATTAAGCTGAACAAACTTTATAGCCTTCATGCTAAATATCACCAACCATGACCTTTCGTTTAGAGAAACTGATTTTTAAAAGTTTATACATAATTGACCAGATGAGAGCTTGACCGTGTGTCACACCACTGGTGTTGAGAATCTCAATGTGGAAGACAATTGCAAAATGCCCCAAAAATCTCAACACCAGTGGTGTGACACACGGTCAAGCTCACATCTAGTTAATTATGTATAAACTTTTAAAAATCAGTTTCTCTAAACGAAAGGTCATGGTTGGTGATATTTAGCATGAAGGCTATAAAGTTTGTTCAGCTTAATATCCTTGTTTGACTTTCAAGGTCACAGGGGTCAAACGTGTTTAAATCTTTTAACAGGTGTTTTTTTTAATGACTTTTGAATCAAGACACAGGTGTGAGACTAATACCAGGTGTGTGATGCAGGCCCATTGGGCCTCTTGCTAAAGAAATTAACAATGTCTTCACTTTGAAAGAAAACTCTCAGACCAAGCAGAATTTTGGCTCCAACAAAGTATTTAGAGGCTTCAGAATAACACAAATGAGAAACTACTATGTTATATATATACAGTATTATCTCTGTTTTAAATGTCTCACAGTTATGTAAAAGCAGTATGAAATTTTAATCAAGATTTGCAGCAAGATGCATTTACTGTTGTCAAGACTATAAATCCAACAGATAAAAGAAAAGAAATTAAGGGAAAAGATCAAACTTACTGAGAGCTAATGTTGATCTTACGATGGTAGGCGCCAACATCCGTCTGGGATCTCATGTTATCAGAATATAACAATTTATATCCATCTGTATCTTTTCTGTGTTTATATATATAACAGGTCAACAGACAAGACAAGATGGAGTCGAATTATCAAGCTCCAGTATGACCATGATCAGGTCAAGGTTAAACAGAGGGCTATGGATGGACAAATTAAGGAGTCAGCTCAGCAACAAAAGGGCATAGAATTGGGACCATCTCAACAACAGATTGGACAGGGAAAATCTCAACAGCAAATTATGCCAGGACAATCTCAACAACAGATTGGACAGGGGAAATCTCAAAAGCAAATTATACCAGAACAATCTCAACAACTGATTGGACAGGGGAAATATCAAAAGCAAATTGTACCAGAACAATCTCTACAACTGATTGGACAGGGGAAATCTCAAAAGCAAACTGTACCAGAACAATCTCAACAACAGATTGGACAGGGAAAATCTCAACAGCAAATTGTACCAGAACAATCTCAACAACAGATTGGACAGGGAAAATCTCATCAACCAATTGTACCTGAACAATCTCAACGACAGATTGGACAGGGGAAATATCAAAAGCAAATTGTACCAGAACAATCACAACAACTGATTGGACAGGGGAAATCTCAAAAGCAAACTGTACCAGAACAATCTCAACAACAGATTGGACAAGGAAAATCTCGACAGCAAATAGTTCTGGGACAATCTCAACAGCAAATAGTGCCGGGTCAATTTACGCAGCAGGTTAGACAGGGAAAACCAATTTTACCAGGACAACCTAAGATGCTTCGACAACAACAAGCTGGACAGCAAATTCCTGATGAAGCATCAAAACAACAGATACAGTTGAAGGTTTTACAGGAAAATGTCGATGCTGTAATAAAGATGCACATAAAGGGGAAAACGTCGGCAGAATCTAACCTCAAAGTGAATACTAAGTTGTCAAATGTCAGGGAGAGTTCATCTGAAACAAAGCAAATCGATAAATTGCTAGAGCAACAACTTCACGAAGCGAACCTTCGTGCTGTCCAAGGCAAGTCAAAGGAAACCTTGGAGAGGAGACCAGATATGGCTACGGACAATAAACCCTTGGAATCTGTTAAAATCCAGCAAGGGGTGGTGGACAGTGTCGCAGAAACTCGAGGGAAATTACTCAGGTCGAGAGATAAAACTGGAAACCAGTTCAATAGAAATTCTCAAAAGTTTATAAAAACAATGATGGATAAAGTTGGAAGGCAACAATAGATGAACTCTTTTGTAGGTAGCTACTGTTATAAGTGTTGCTAGGGGAGACTTCTTATAATAACCATGGAGCCCCTTTAAACCTTGGTAACCATGGAACCCCATTAAACCTTGGTAACCATGGAACCCCATTAAACCATGGTAACCATGGAACACCATTTAACCAAGGTAACCATGGAACCCCATTAAACCTTGGTAACCATGGAACCCCATTAAACCATGGTAACCATGCAACACCATTTAACCATGGTAACTATGGAACACCATTAAACATGTATCTAGAGTCAATAACCATGGAAACATCTCAATACAGGTACTTTGAGAAGTTGATTTCCAAAATCACAGTAAAATTACTGCATTTAATTGGGAAATGTTTTTTTTACTCTTTAATGGGACTAAACTTTGATAATTTCATAGGATTGGACTTTCCACTTCCGATCTATGTTTGGGTAACTGGTGTGTGTCTGCTACTGATGTCGTGTGTGTGTTTTAACTGCTGTAGATATTTGTTGTGACCGTAAGCATTTTGTTGAGTTTGATTTTGAGGTGTGTACATGTATGTGTGATCAGAGAGGAGGTGTATCTATAACAGGGTGTACATATCATTATTAGATTTTTCCGATCAAATGTTTATTAAGGATGTATGGTAAGTAAACAAATCGTTTAGAAATTTACATATCTATTCTTCATATCTATGCATTGTACATATCATTGAAATAATGTAACTAAATCATATGAAGACACTACAAAACAGTAATAAAATGTAACTAAAACGTATCTACACACTGAACATATCAGTAACAAAATGTAACTCAAACATATCTACACACTGAACATATCAGTAACAANTTACTAAAACATATCTAGTTATCTATACACTGAACATATCAGTAACAAAATGTTACTCAAACATATTTAGTTATCTACACACTGTNAAAATGTAACTCAAACATATCTACACACTGAACATATCAGTAACAAAATGTAACTCAAACATATCTACACACTGAACATATCAGTAACAAAATGTAACTCAAACATATCTACACACTATACTAACCACCTATCTATAGAGACCCCCTGTCTATACTAACCACCTATCTATAGAGACCCCCTGTCTATACTAATCACCTATCTATAGAGACCCCCTAGTATACTAACCACCTATCTATAGAGACCCCCTGTCTATACTAACCACCTGTCTATAGAGACCCCCTGTCTATACTAACCACCTGTCTATAGAGAACACATATCTATACTAACCACCTATATATAGAGACCCCCTGTCTACTAATCACCTTTCTGTAGAGACCCCCTGGTTATACTAATCACCTTTCTATAGAGACCCCCTGTCTATACTAATCACCTGTCTATAGAGACCCCCTGGTATACTAATCACCTGTCTATAGAGAACACCTGTCTATACTAACAACCTGTCTATATAGACACCCTGACTATAATAATCACCTGCCTATAGAGACCCCCTGTATATACTAATCACCTGTCTATAGAGACCCCCTGGTATACTAACCACCTATCTATAGAGACCCCCTGTCTATACTAACCACCTGTCTATAGAGACCCCCTGTCTATACTAACCATATGTCTATAGAGAACACATATCTATACTAACCACCTATATATAGAGACCCCCTGTCTACTAATCACCTGCCGATAGAGACCCCCTGTCTATACTAATCACCTGTCTATAGAGACCCCCTGGTATACTAATCACCTGTCTATAGAGAACACCTGTCTATACTAACAATCTGTCTATATAGACACCCTGACTATAATAATAACCCGTCTATAGAGACCCCTGTCTATACTAACCAGCTATCTATAGAGACCCCTGTCTATACTAACCACCTGTCTATAGAGGACATGTGTATATAGAGAACATTTGTCTATTAAGACTATCTCACCTGTGTATACAAACCTCTGTATAGAGTGGGGTGTCCTTTCTCCATTGGAAGACCTCTATAGACAGGTTTTCTAAACTATTTAAGCTCAAGATTTGTCCTTTATTTCGTGTTTGGTGCAGCCTGTCATTGTGTCTTGTTTTAACTCACATCCATTAGTAATTATGAGTTATATTATAAATGTTTGTCTGCACTAAGTGCAACTCGATTTCATGTGTGTTACATACCTTGTTTCTGGCTGGTACCTGTAACACAAGGGTTTAGATCATTTAATGGTCTATAGTGCTTTAAATGATTTCTGGTTAATTCAGAGAGAGTTACAATATATAGCCTAGTATATACATACAATATATGTGTTTTAAACATAGCAATGGGAAACTCAGTTTATTATGTAAATGTACATAAGATAGAGCTGTGGTGTGACTTAATTGAGAAATAGATTGTTTCCTATGTTAACAAGTTGTGGGATAAAAATATCTTTATTTTTGTGTGAGTAGATCTGAGTCTAAAAATAACTCCCTGTTAGGCATAGGAGTAAATGTGACTCAGCAATTTGATTGGATGATTTGATTTATATTTACCTTTTACATATGTCACAATGTTTATATACTGTAAACTACATGTACATGTGCACATTCAAAATTGATTCAAGAGCATGCTGTAGATGGCCAGTTTTGTGAGATGTTATTTTCTAGATCACCAATGCTTTCCCTCCACTTGACACTCAGGAAGGGGTATTAGGTAGTATTGTTCCTGAACACAAATCCTGGACATACAGCTGGTGTTTATTTACGTCACATTTAAAAGGTCACTCAGTTGGTCGAGGGTCGGACTTCTTCATTTTGCTTATATATATTTTATATTTATTTATTATACCATAGTTTCATGTTAAATTATACTTGCCAACTTTTTGAAATTTACATGGGGGAGATAATTATCTGCATGCTCAAATTTAAAACCTAAATAAAATGTAAAAAACAACCCTTTAAATAGCATTCTTTGAGTTGTTCTGAAAAGTTTAGCAAATTCACTGGTTGAAAATGCTAAATTTAATGGTCCAAAATCGGGAGTCTCCGTCCTAAGTAGGTTGGCAAGTATAGTTAAATATATTAAGAGACAAATATAACGGTTTGTTATTTAAATGTTTTTCTAACTCTTCGTTAAATGTGCTACTGTTCACAGTGTTGCTGGTCTAGAATTAATTCTGCTATACTTATAACTATAATTGATACATGTATATGTGTACACCAAACCTGCTGAGGAGGGTTAAATTGGTGGATCATGAGATTATATCTTTGAAACAAAGTTTATCTCAGTATAGAGACCCCCAGATCATGTTTAATTGATATGTTATATTATTGAAGTATGTCAGACTTGAAAACATGACGTAATGCTATGTATTTTTTGTAAATTTGTATTTGAGATTTTATGAATATATGTCACCCTGGTAAAATACTAGCAGCTTCCTACAGACTTGGCTAGGGAGAAATTCTCTTTAGCTCATTCGGTAGAGTGTAAGACTAGTAAGCCAGAGGTCCTGGGTTCAACTCTTGACAGAGGCATTGATAATATAATGACCTCTATAAATGTATATCTATGTGTATGTTGACGTGTTGTAAGATAGTGCTATTTTATATACATGTATATCTATGTGTACATTTGTATGTGGAAGTGTTGTAAGATAGTGTTAATTTATATACATACATGTATATCTATGTGTATGTTGAAGTGTTGTAAGATAGTGCTATTTTATATACATACATGTATATCTATGTTGAAGTGTTGTAAGATAGTGCTATTTTATATACATGAATGTATATCTATGCATTGCTGTACAGTTTTTATCACTAAATGAAGCAGTAATTGCTGAGGGTCCTCACAGTTTAAATTGTATCGTATGTTTTTGTTTCTCAGTTTTTGAGAATGATAAATGAAATATTCAGCTGATTAAAATAGTGAATAGTAAAAAGGAGCACACAGAGTCCACTGTAAAAGGAGTGTGATATCTTCAGTAAGATTCATCAGTTTGGACATAATTATGTAATATCAAAATATTGGGACTTCGAGTGACATTTGTTCTTTACATGTAATATCAAAGTTTTTCTTTATACACAAACAATGTACATATACATATTAAACTTGTCGCAACATTTCAGACAGACTTATCAGTTCTGTCCCTTTGTCAAGCTAAATGGCTGAGTGTCGGACCAGTCCGCTATAAACGTTCCGACTCGTTGGATATATACAATGTTTGTGTATAAAGTAAAACTTCGACATTAAAAGAAAGTAATATTTTGACAATCCATGATATTTCAAGTTAGTTATAAATAGAGGAATATTCTTAAAACGGTTTTAATCTGGAGTTTCGAGATAAACTAGATATAAAGGGATGGAGTGTTGATGTCAACCCAGGGTCCTGGCAATTGTTAAATGTGTAATAACCCAATCCTTGATATCATCTCATCATAAATGTGGTTTTAGTGACCAGGTCCCTGTGGCTGATCAGTGGACATTGACTACTGTTTGTACATAGAGAGTTTAACTACATATAATCAGATATGTTCTCTGCCATTCCAGACAAACTTTTGTCTTGTGTTTTATCCTTTCACAAATGTATCTGTCTTCATGTTAAAACAAGAAAGAGTTTATATTTATTCCAAGGTAAAAAGTGTATGATACACCTACCTCTCATTTCATTCCAATTTTAAATTAATTGTAAAATGTTAATTAATGGGTTTTTTATTGGGTAGACCCAGGAAGTCTCATGTTTTTGTCTACCACGAACTCTGCTCTCTGCTGTATCACATACCAGTATCAGGATTGTAAATTAAGTCAACTGGATTTCATGGCCCCTTATAATCCAGTACAGTAATGGGTCTATCATTATGTAGGTAGGTGGTATATGGATATTCAACCCCAAGATTAGTGTCAGAACTGAGACTTTATGAACTTGCTACTGGCACCTAAGATTTTATGAAGAATTTCTCAACTGCATTTTACTTATACTAGCTTATCTCCCTCTAGTTTAGAAGTTAAAACCATGTGATCAAAATTATTAGAGTTAATTCTTTTTCTTCTAAATAATTTAATATCTGTATAACATTCTAGAGACAGGGACCAGTCTATGAGGCTTTACTGAGGGTGAAGAATTTGGGTCAGAATCAAGGCTTCGCCAAGGTCCTGACATCGAATTCTGCACCCAATGGTAGAATATCCTTATCCCTTACATAAACTGTTTGGGGATTTTTTGTTATCTGAACTTTTTATATGTCTACTGTGGGATTTGAATAAATGGCACTCTACTGTATAACGTTTCTTATTTCATATAACCACTGGTCTGGTTCAGATCAACCAAAAGTTGGCAGTCACCCTTTCACCACTGTAGGCCATAATGGGCTCATCCAGATCATTGCTAGGTAGAGTTTACTTAAGTTACATAGGTGTAAAAGGGTAAAAGTTTCAATTCATTAACTCCTGAACTCACTTATTAACAAATGTTCCAGTGTTCTGCGTATAAAGAAACATTTTAGCTGGCAATTCGTCGACAGATTGGACCTGGAGCTTGGCCACTAATTGTAAATATGATGTATGAGTTAAAAACCTAAATTATGAAATCCACAGGAACCATAGAATATATGGTCAATGGTACCAACAAATGGGGGAAAAAAGCCCAATCACCAAAGTAAGGCGACATTGACACTTGGTATACACTTACAAAATGTCAATGTTTACGCTACTAGTCCTGGTCACCTCAGCCATCAGCCATGCAGTCCAGTTCCGCTACAGTAGTACTTTGGCTCAGTTGAGCTTAACAAAAAAATAAAATAAGGGGAGGTAACTGTATGTAGAGTTTAGCCTACAGTGGGACAGGATGCTGAAGGATGAACAGAAAGTGAAAACGCAGTGTTGAGACCTGTTGACCAGTGTTTGTATGTCATTAATTATGACAAAGAGGAACATATACCTGCTGGTATATAAATACAGTAGGCGTAATTGTTATGGAGAGTATTTTAAAATAAAACTCTTTCAAGTGGAATAAATCTTATATATTTGTTTGATGGTTTCGTTGTTTTCTGAAATTTCTTCTCTGGTCTTCTGGCTCTGTGATTATGAAACTGTATATTATAGGCATAAACCTAACTTTGAAGGTTTCTCTAAGGTATTTGTCTGTGGTTAATTAAATGTGGTTTAACATCCATGTACCGGTAAATGTCAAGGTTGTAAATGCAGGTAGTATTTCATTAAATTTGGAGTGATTTAATCCTAGAAAAATATGCATCTTTTTACATTTGAAATATGGGTTTGTTAATCAGTTTCATGATCCCAGACCTGAAATAAAGTGCCAGTGAGCTAAATATAAACTATGTCTGCTATGTTGTGGCATCCATCGTTTGTCCTTTATCAATAGAACAGCTGAAGGAAATGAGATACGTATGGAGCATCCCTGGGTGAAGGATACTAAATGTTGTGTACAATATAAAGGGTATGGCACCATCAGCCGAGGTTAAGCATGCTGGGAAAGACAAGTATATAGCATTGAAATACTACTACGTACGCCTTCAATAAAAGCAGACAGCTAGATTTAAAACAAATTTGGTATGAATTAATGGCTTTGAAAGGTTTAAATTAGGAACTGGATTTTACCCGTCTACAAACCATCACACCCTCTCTTCTACTCTAACCCGTAGACCTGATTGGGAATTAGGGGTATATCAAAATATAAGTGAAATGAAAGATTCTTCACTATGAAGCTGTCCAGACATGTACAGTCTACAACAACCAGCTTGTATTGCTTTAGGTGTCTGCAACACTCTTATACGAGAAACAATTGCATGTACCCAGACTTGTATAGAATATGCTAAATTGACATATATTCAAATAATTGCGCACATCTTCAAATATTTGAAGGTAGAAACAAATCAGTTGTAAATATATTTTAATTAAAGAAAATATCTTCAATTGAATCAAATTTTGAGATATCATTAACTGATTGGCGCTTTATCTTCAATTATTTGAATATGTTGATTTGGTGTTCATAGATTCAGATATCCACATATGACATGAATACTTGCACTGACCAACAACATTGTGTTGATGATAGCTTCTTGAAAACTTCTTGTTTCAGAGGCTCCAGAGTCAAATTGTTCTATCTCACCTGCCTAAAGGCAAGTGAGCTTATGCCATGGCTTCTGTCTGTCATCCTTCCTTCTGTCTATCAACTTTTTTCCTCTTAAACAACTTCTTCTGTAGAACCAAAATGCCTAGAGTCATGATATTTTGCTGATATCTTGCTGTGATAAATCCCAACATATTTTCAAACAAACGTTACCTTTATTAACTTCTTCCAATTTTGTCACATGGGTCAAATACACCGTATGTTAAAATTAAACTTAAAACTACTTCTAAGGAAGAACTGAAAAGCTTAGGTTGAGTCATATGATATTTGATAACTACCACCTGAAGTTGTGCATCCAGGTATTATGTTTTCAATGTGACCTTTTTTTTACAAAGTTATGGCCCTTTGTTGAAAAAAACTTGTCCAGACAACTCCTCCAACACTATGAGCTCAACTTTTCAGATATGATAACTAACACCTGATGTTGTGCATCCAGGTATTTTTTCCAACCATTTTTTATGGAGTTATGACCCTTTGTTGAAATATCCTTGTCCTGACAACTTATCCTTATCTACTTGGCCAATTTCAATTCTTTTTTTTACAGATATGGTAACTGCCCCCTGATGTTGTGCTTTTTCATTCTGACCCTTTTAAAAGGAGTTATGGCCCTTTGTTAAAAAAAAACTTGTCTGCCTCCTAAACTACTGGGCCAATATCAATAAAAGTTAACAGATATGGTAATTACCCCCTGATATCATGCACAGGAAAGTGTTTTTTCATTTCGACCTTTTTGAAGAAGTTATAGCCCTTTGATGAAAATCTTTGTCCTGACATCTCTTCCCTAACTACTAGGATGATTTCAGCAAAACCTGTTCATCTGGGCCAACAAGTTTGGTTTGGAAGTATGTTTTGGCGTTGGGAGGGAGTACAGGTAGTATGACAGTGACCTAGCTATATACTTAAATAAGTGCACAGCTGACAGACAAAGAAATCATAACTGGTGGGAGACTATGGATTAATTTGCAGTGCTTTGCCTTAGTTAGCCTTTAGCTTACAGATCTGGTTTATATAGGAGTGGGGGTATTAGTTATCCTTTGGCTTACAGTTCCAGATGAGTTTAATCTGCATGATGCTGACTTCAGACGAGCCTTGACAAAGCCTTGCAAGACCTACATAAACATTTGCACTCTGGTCCGCCAGGATTTATAACAGAAAACATTTCCTTCTTCTTCTTCTTCTCTTTTAAACATCTGCATTTTAACCACCTCTGGTGTATTGTGACAGGTGGGATGAATGGCTATACAAGTTTGCCTATTTAGATAAGCATGTACTTCAAACTCTTTGAGGGTAACGTTACATCATAAATGTGATATAAAAAACAGGCGGGTTATTCAGGCCCATTAGGCCTCTTACTATTGATTTCGTGAAATATAAATTTCTGACAATTTAGCACAATTATGTTAATTAAGTAAATGAAATTTAAGAAATGTAAAAATAAACTTCAACTATATTCGTTAGGCCATCATTGTCCTCACTTTGATATTGTTAAAATAGTAGTCTGTTACCTTATTGATAAGATTCAACCACGGTTATCACCCCTGTTAATGTTGTGAAAGGTTTACGCTCTTCGCTATGAATTATACTAACGATACCACAACCATAACGACTATATATACTGGCTACTGACATGGCGGCTTTGAAGGAACTTCGACGACTACGAGACGAGGAAAGGACGCTGGTGAACATAGCTTCCAAAGTCAGTGACCAACTCAACCGCCTGAAGGTTTGAATCTCAGTCATCTGACTTGTATATGTACTCAATCAGTGACACAATCATCAATATGACCAAGTAGGTCAATTATTTTGTAAACATCTACCAGACTAGCTGCGATAACGTAGCTTTCTCACGACGAGATAAAAAAAATATCTATTGCGTCGGCCGGGGCAGATCGAGGAGGACGGGTATTAATATTAGTACTAGACGTAGACGATTTAACTTCAGCGAATATTTATTCAACAGAAGGGTACCCGTTGTAACTGTCAGGTCGTTTCGGTAACAAGACGGACGGATGCAGGGGAGAGCACCATATAATTGGCATAAAAAAAAATCTTCCCATGAACACAAATTATTCCTTACAGCCCCC